TGATTTGATAAATTTAGCTTATTTTTCAGCTAACTAATTATTATTAATAATTAAAATATATAATTTTTTAATTAAAAACTATATAATTTTATATGTTAATAATAGTATAAATTATGTAAAGAATAAATAAAATTTATAATATTAACAAATTAATTTACGACAAAATAATTTTTTTAAAATAAACTAGTAGCAACAAATATAATAAAAAATATAAGTTACAATTAAATAAGATAGGATCGGAAGTAAAAATTTAACGCCTGAATAATTGTAATCAGGTTGAAACCCAATCATCGGCGGTGGTTGGGCTGTGCAGGCTGTGGTCTGCGAACGAGCGTTGTTAGTGGTAGCATCGAGCGGCGTAAGACATGCGACCAGCGGGGTAGAGAGGGCGGTGGTGGTGCCATGGGCGTTGAAGCAGGAAGCAGTAGTGGGTGTGGCAGAGTCAAGTGAGGCTAAATTGATGTTAATGAGTTGAATGTTGGAACAGCCTATACTTTGGCTGCATCTTAATACAATTGCCTCCTTTGTGCTCGATGTACCATGTATGCCGTTGTATAATATATCACTCACTTTCACTGCTGATTTCTATATATATGTATATATATATATATATACATATAATATTTGATCAATTAATAATTTCTTAAAAAATTAATGAAAATATTTAATAAAAATTTGAAATGAATTGACCTGATTTTTGCATGGAACTGGTTGATTAGGGCAATAATATTGATCAATGAGGATTGGGTTGGCAACTCCATCCATTTGGATGTCTTCAAAAGAAATCTTCCTTGCATATCCAGACCCTCCCTATTTGAATACATACATATATATATATATATATAAATATATAGATCATTAAGATATGGGTTTCTTATATATGTGTGTGGGTGTGTTTATGTGTATATTATGAGGTAAAAAGTGAATATATATGTATGGACCTGCCATGTTTTGATCCTTGCTCCATTTGAAGTTCCTTGAAGCGTACAATTACAGACGTGTACTTCTTCCACCTTGTCATTCTCGCCGTTTACTCCTAAGCTTCCAATACTGTACTTATTTGAATGTTTACTTGATAAAAATTCATATATTGTTTACTAATAACAGTGAAAGTAATTGAGAAGAACTAGTTACCTTATACCATGGCCTGGTCCACAAGTAATGCCAGAAATGGTGATGAAGGAAGAGCCATCACCAATGGCAATACAATCGTCGCCTGTAAAACCATTTTAGTAAATGAATTAGTATTTAATTAAAACTACTGGTAATAAGATTTTCATCATTACTATTATTATTATTGCGTAATGAATACAAATTTTATAAAAAGATTGAATGAAATTACCAGTTTGAATGAGAGAATTAGCGATATAAACGTGAGTGGAGAAGCCGATGTCAATGCCGTCGGTGTTAGGGCTTGAGCCAGGAGCTGAGATGTGTGTATCAGAGATGATGACACCGTTGCAGCCACCTATGTGCATGTGGCTGGATGCACTGTTCACATTTTTTAATCCTCTTATTTCCACATTGTTGCAACTTTTTATCGCCAATGCCTGCAATTTATTTTATACTATAGTTTCATTGATTATATAAATTTTTTTATATAAAATTATAGTTTCATTTAATTAAAACTATATCATTAACTAATGTTCAAATTTTAATTGCTAATAACTGCCGTGTAAAGAGTGGGGGAAAGAAAAGCATACAATAGGTCTGGTTCTCTGAGGATTGAGCCACCAATGAGAACCCTGGCCATCAATGACTCCACTTCCACTGAGAAGAAGTCCATTCACATCTGAGAATTCCAGCCAGTGCTGAACATCTCTCCCCTCCCATTCTCCAGGGTTTCTGGGAGCAACTATATTCCCTTCTATCTGTTTATAATATTATCAATATATATAACTTATACACATATATATACATACCTCATTCAACAATTATTCATGCTTTTTGCTAACTAATTCAAGAAATTGATCATCCCCACAATTACTCTGGCTTGATCAATCAAATTTACCAATCAGTTTTTAACAATTGTATATTTAAATTAAAATTATTTGAAAGAATATGAACGATTAATGTAATTAAATTCGAAAAAAAATGAATTAAGCCCATTTAGATTTTCGACCAATTCAAATAAACAGGTTTAGTATAAAGTACTGAAATCCTTGGATTAAGTAGTTTAGTATAAAGTACCTGAACATTAATGGAGGGTGGTTTGCATGGACCTTGAAAATCCACTGGTTTCAACAAGAATGTTCTGCCTGCTGGTACTACCATGATTGGAGCTTCGCCGTTTCGACAGTGACAAATAGCTGTCCAGGCCCTGAGAAAAGCCTTTACATATATTTCACGTCAATACTTCAGATATATACATATTCACACATATATATATATATATATATATATACACGCACGAGTTCATTCACTCCATCTACACACACATACATATATCTAGAATAATGTCAAAGTGTGTCAAAAGCAAAACTAAAACTTCATGCTTGCATGACCCAAAATAGAAAAGGTTAAATACATACATATATGCATATGGTAGTAATATATACGTATATTACTTACTTGGGAATCATCTGTATCTCCATCTCCTACAGCTCCGTATTGAGTGACATCTACAGAAGCAGGGCAGGAAGGTAAACGATGACTTGCTGCTTTAATTGTTGCCAAGCTTAAAATCAACACTAATATTATATTTACATGAACTTGCTGAAACATTGTTTCTACTCTTAATATTTTTTGGTAAAATTCAACAAAGTAAATCATTTGAGCATTTATATAAAGTTACACTAGGTATATACATAATACAGAAAAAGAAAATAATTCAAAAGAGAAATACTAAGTATAACGTTATAGAGGAAAGTTAAGTATAGTGGAAATTAACTGTATGTATAGGAAAATATTTTCTTGACAAATAGATTTCCTTTCCCTATTTTTTCCTGTTTCCTTACGTGTCTTTCTTCTGCCTAAGTCAATAACTTTTTATATATATATATATATATATATGTGTGTGTGTGTGTTATATTGAACGTGGGAGGAAGACAAAAAATTATATTCCCTCCTCTTCTCTGTCGCGGTTGATGCCCGGAGAAGACAAAGAGTATCTTCCCTAAAACGGTGTCGTTTGAGGGAAGAAAACTGAGCTATTGGGTCACGGAGTGGGCTCAGGTTATGGGTTCTATTCTCTGGATGGGTTGGGTTCATTGATTTGGGCCAAATGGGCTCATTTGAATAAATTTGGACTTGTAGACTGATCTGGTTTGGGTCTTTGAGTTTACGTTTAGGCTAGACTAATCTATTTTCTTTTCATACAAATAGATTTAGTGATGCCAGTAAATTTGAGTTTCTAATGTTGCCTTCTCTCACATTGTAGCTATGTCATTTTTTAAGGTTTCCCCTCACGGCAGCCTATGTTTGTAGCACCCGGAAAGGAGGAGGAAAAAAAAAAAAAAAAAAAAAAAGAGAGAGAGAGCCACGTCAGTAGGCCCGGTCAGCAGTCCCGGCCAACCGGGGCCTGCCACGTGGCAAGACCACGTCGCTCCGAAAAGGAGCCACGTTGGCGATCCGCGTGGGTGCGATCCAACGGCCCAGATCAATCGCGCGATCGGACGGCCCAGATTCAATCGCACGGACGGCCCAGATTCAATCAAAAACGAACGGCCCAGATTAAAACGAAATGGACGGCTGAGATCAAAAGGCAAGGGGTTATAAATAGAACCCCCACACCAGACCACAAACCCTAGCCGCCTGCCGCTCGCCGGAGAAGACGAACCAGAAGCCGGCCGCCGCCACCCGCCGCCGTACCGGAGGAACTTCCGACCGCCGATCGAGGTAAATTTCGTACCCCCGACTCGTTTTTCTACGCTGATTCCTCCTGTGGCCAAATCGGAGCCAAAATCCCGGCCAAACGGCCGGAATACGCGGCCGAAGCCCAGTGGCGCCGCCGTGCTCCTTCTCGGTTTTTGCCTCCGATGAGGCCCTTCCCGGCCTCCGTTTGATGCAATTTTTATATCACCGTGATCACCATTTTTTTCTCTACAGGTTGACCGGAGCCGAATCACCAAAACATGAACCTCGTCGGAGAGCCGCCGCACCCGAGAGCGCCGCCGCCGGTAAGCTCCGTTTTTCTGTGATTTTTTGGCCCCCCGAGGGCCCTAGGGTTGTTTTCTCACAGGGACTGATGGGAGTGTGGCCGAATTCGGCCGAAAACAGCCAACCCGAGGCGACTCGCCGCCGCCAGCGGCGGCGCCGTCGCCGGAGCACGGCGGAGCCGCCGTGCCGGAGTTACGATTTGGGCCGAAAGAGGCCCTGGGCCTAATTTGGGTTTTTTTGGAACACGTGCAGGTACCAGTAGTGCGTTTCAGTTCCCCGAGGAAAATTCAGGGAAAATTAGGGACAGTCTGCAAGCGCACTGTGAAGCCGTGTTCGGACCCCGAAACGAGTAAGGACCCCTCACCCTATTTCCTATCACGGTATTAAAGTTCAAAATGATAAAACGGTATTCCTTGAATTAACGAATGTGTGAAATTGTTTAACGTGGCTAATGGAGCCCGAGTCTAGTGTGATTGGTGATTTACTGTTATTTGGCATGTTTACAGCTTTAAATACAAAATGAGGTTTGATGTGTTCATTTTACAGATTTGTGTGCATATACTACGTTTTTATTAATCATGGGTTGAATGACTGAAAAACTGATACTGTATGTTGTCTGTTTGGCATGAATTACGATTTGCTTGTTTAAATGTGAATTGATGGTGCTGACTGAGGAAAAGGAAAATGAAAGATTGTGTAGACTGATAATTGTATTATGGGGGTCAGCCTGACTAGATATTCTGGGAGATGGTGGACGGACCGGGTCCGTAGGGAACTCTACCGGGATTGTGGTCTCATATGCCGGACGGGGTATGGAGATCTTATGGTTTTGGTGCCCATACCGGACGGGGTATGGGGACGGCCCGTTTCACCCTCATACCGGACGAGGTATTGAGGTTTATGGTTTTGGCGCCCATACCAGACGGGGTATGGGGACGGCCCTGGAAACTGATTATGAATGTTAAAGGTTAACGGGTAGCGGAACCCCTATGGACCCCCACGGATACTAGTAGGCTGGTAAATGAGAAAAAGATATGTTGTACAATGATTGAATTACAAGAGGCGTGATAAGTGTTATGTTTTACAACTTATATTATTCCATGATTATGATAATATTATTGTTTTCTTATATTGTTTTCATAAATTCCACCGAGGTAAGTGGATGGAAAAGGTTTTTATGTTAATAAGCGAGTTTGTTGTAAATTATGCTCCATTGATCTTTTTGTGTTTTCTACCCACCTTTACCTCCGTGACGGTGAGATATCGTGATGTTCTTACTGGATTAGTGTAGCTCACTCCTTATTTAACCATTTCAGATTAGGAAGACATGGTTCCCGAGCCCGTTCCGCAGGAGGACGACGAAGGGGATGCCTAGAGACTCTGTAGTCATGCTCATAGCTTTGTTTTTCAAGTTTCTTTTTTAGTTAGTTTAACCTTTTATAATTTAAGTACGTTTTTAGTTTTCGTATAAGGGATGTTAACTGAAATTTTGACCTCGCTTCCGCATTTGATATATTTAAATACTCATTTCATTTTAATATTTCTGAAGCCGTTACAATGTTCATCTTGTTAACAATATAACGAGAGTGGTAACTCTACTTCTTTCATCCTCAAGACGCATACGAGCTTATCACTGGAATAAGAAATGGTTCAAGTGTTGACCCACTGTAACTTTTAGAATCATGGAGAAGAGGAGAGTTGCGCCAATTGAACAGGTGAAGCTTGTCAATTTTTAGATGTTACTGCTGAAAACTTTTAATGATTATTAGTAGTCAACATACATGTTAAGAGAAACATTATTGAACTATTATCTGCTTCTGTCGGTTTCCCATTTTACCATTTTGATATATATATATATATATATATGGGAGTATCTGCGTATTTGTGGAGTTCAAAGTTAGAAAAGGGTGGCTTTTATTATAGACAAAGTACAGTGGGAAAAAAACACACACACACAAACACACACGATAATGTGCTAAGCCTTTGCATCTGGCCACTAGCTTGTCTCCCGCCTAATCTCTGCGGCTAAACCGCAAGAACAAGGACTCTTAACTTTTTTTATTTCTTTCATTCTTATACATAGATGGATCGTCTGCATACATGGCCGCCCTCTACATGTATATACATATATATATATATAGAGAGAGTGGTCTACTCCCAAATTTGCTGGCCAAAGGGACAAGTGACGCTAGGCTGCAACTGGCACATGTTCGGAATGTTGCTGGCGACGCGGTACATCCTCCTCACCTGCTTCTGTCCCTGTTGTCCCTGTTGTCCCTGCGTTCTCTGTTGCTGAATTCTCACTGCGCGTCTCAGCACCGGGCACCTGCATTGTGGGTCAATGTTTCTCAGCTGTTGGCAGCATATCTGGAAGTCTTGTTGACCACGCTGCTGCTGCTGATTCTCCTCATCTTCATCATCGAGTAGCAATTCATCGTCCAGGCGAGGTCCCCTCGTGGTTTGTCTCCTGATGAATCGCTGGCAAGCTCTGAGTTGTTGGTGCCTCGCGAACTCCCGTTGGCATCTCTGTTGTTGTTGCTGTTGTTGATTCTCCTCATCCTCCTCGAAGTCGTATTGCAGGTCGAATCTCGATGCTTTGGCGAGGAGCAAGAAGAGAGCGAAGGTGGCGAAGAGAAGAGTGAGCTTCGACGCCATTGATGATGATTGATTTGTATTATAACTGATGGAGGGGTGAACTGGAGCGAGGGGAGTTGATGGGTATTTAAAGAAGATTGGGAGGGTTTGCATGGCGAGAACGTGTTAGATGAGGTGGTGATATTTGGTGAGATAAACTCACACGTAGCTTTACGCCATGCAAATACGCCAACTCAAAAATGGCTTTTGTCTTCTGCTTCTTTTTTCTACTGGTTTCACCTTGGAGATCCGTGCACACACCATTTTTTTTTTTGGGTGGAATATTAATATTATTTAACTTCTATAAAATATATACATATATATATATATATTTAGTGAGTTAATAATATAGCAATTGTTAATTCTTTCATTTGCATGTTAATTTTCTTGGGTTTTGCCTGCTTTTTAAATGCTAAATCAACATTACATAAGAAAAACTTTGATTTATTTTAATAAATCAAATTTTTAGATTTTATTAAAATATATAATCTGTTCAATTATGTATATTAGATATACTTATAAAATTTTACTTCAAAAATTTTATATCTCTTGAGTTTACTTTTGAATATTCAAATTTTATCTGGACAAATTTATTTGGGCTTTAAATTTAATTTTTAAATTTAGATATTTAAATATTCAACTCATTCTTCTCCTTGTCAGCAAACTTACTTGTTATCTTCACCTCCTATAAATCCTAATACAAACGAAACAACCAAACCACCATTGTCATCGCCCTCATCACATTTTTTATAATGGCATCAGGACATGCCCTCCCAAGCCTTGTCCACAAGATTCACCATTCATGTCTTCTCAATTCAGTAGATTCAAATTCACATGTCGGATACCTTCTTCGCTTGCCAACAACTTAGTTATCGATTTTCGACCAATTCAAATAAATAGGTTAAGGGTTGAATCCAAAAATTAACACGAATTAGTTTGTGGAAGCAGTAAAAGAAAGATTTGAGATGAAGTATGGATGAAAAAGGAAAGAGGATACCGATCCACGAAGTTATCGAAAGTGTGTGTGGGGATCGTCTCAATGAATTTAAAAACATCAATGTTTAATTATTTTTTTATTTTAAATTTATTCTCGGTAGATTATCTTATACTTATTTTCGTTAGCAGTAAATAATTTAAAATTTAACATTTGGCCTAAAATTCTTTTTTTTTTTTATTTTACAGCTATTTTTCTACTATTATTTTAGTTGTTTGTGCGTTAATTAACTTGATATTATTAATATTACTTTACGTAAATAAATTTTACAATTATTAATTATATTTCTTGTTCGAGATCCAACAATTTTTTTAGGGTTCATCTTAGTACGGAGATTTTGTATTTTGGCTACATTTGAGTGATGCTTAACTTGAATTCGGGTTTCATAGATGCCTTTGTTGGTATTCTACGTTTAAATACTGGGTAGTTTCTTGGTGTTATATTTGTTTTTGTCATATTATTTGCTTAATCACAGCGTAAAATTAGCAATTTAGCAAGGCCTCATTTTATCTAAAAAATTTAAAGGTTTGTTTTCAGAGGAACACAACATGGATTATCACGGCAAAAACATTAGTTGGGATTAATTTTATTCAAGTGAAAATCACACAGTGAGAAAGAACCACTAATGTGCTTTTACACCCACTATCTTCTCTCCCGCCTAATCTCTGAGGTTAAACCGCAAGAACAAGGACTGAACTTCTTTATTTCATTCATGCTTATACATACATGGCCGCCCTCTACATACATATCCATATATATATATATATATAGAGAGAGAGAGAGAGAGACGGAGAGGTTTACACCAATTGCTGGCCAAAGGGACAAGTGAAGCTAGGCTGCAACTGGCACATGTTGGGAATGTTGCTGGCGATACGGTGCATCCTCCTCACCTGCTGCTGTCCCTGTTGTCCCTGTACTCTCTGTTGCTGAATTCTCACCGCGCGTCTCAGCACCGGGCACCTGCATTGTGGGTCAATGTTCCTCAGCTGTTGGCAGCATATCCGGAAGTCTTGTCGACCACGCTGCTGCTGATTCTCCTCATCTTCATCATCGAGTGCTAATTCATCTTCGAGGCGAGGTCCCTGCGAGGTTTGTCTCCTGATGAATCGCTGGCAAGCTCTGAGTTGTTGGTGCCTCATGAACTCTCGCTGGCATCTCTGCGGTCGTGGTTGTTGTTGGTTCTCGTCATCCTCCTCAAAGTCGTATTGGAGGTCGAATGTGGAGGCTTTGGCGAGAAGCAGGAAGAGAGCGAAGGTGGCAAAGAGGAGAGTGAGCTTCGGCGCCATTGAAGATGGTGACGATGATGATTGATTTGTATATTAACTGATGGATGGGCGGAAATGGAGTGGGGGGGGGGGGGGGGGTACTGATGGGTATATAAAGAAGATTTGAAGGGCTTGCATGGCGAGAGCGTGCTAGATGAGGTGGCGATGTTTGATGAGATGAACTCACACGTAGCTTTAAGCCATGGAAATACTCGAACCCAGGAATGGCTTTTTG